TTTGAAAAGAATGTGCAGTCATTGGGTTTTTTAGGGCCGCTGTAATAAGCAGCTCCAACGCAGTGATAACTCAAGTAGAAAATCCTGTATCCAAAGATGCATAACTCGACAGAGAAATTTCTTACATGGCAGCTGCCACAAATGCTAGGCTAATGCTTGCATACGAGTCGTTGATGATTCAGCTCGTAACATTTCGGTGCAGTTTTAGTTGACATTGTGCTGACAGAACTTATTGAAAAAAGTTGTTTGTCTGCTTCATGAACTTCGCCCTTTGCTTTGAACGACATGAAATGTAATAATTGGTGTTTCAGCAGACAGAGATGTCTGTGGATATGAATACAGCAGTCAGAGCAGGACACATAGACTTACTGTAAAAAACATTGTAAAAGGTAAAAAAAAAAATAAAAAAAAAAAACGGGCGCACAAGATGATGCCAATGGTCTTCAATACAGTTTAGCAAGTCACGGACACAAAAATAGGCAGCAGCTTTAAAAGAAAAATAAAATTAAAAATTCAGCTACATGTGGACAGTTGGTAAACAAAGCACAGACAGTAGACCTGTCGGGAACATTAATAGTAATATTTTGATTTCAGCTACAGCTACGTGAATTTGATGAAAATATGTAGGCATGGGTAGGTCTTGCAATAGCACAAAATTCAAAACATCCCGATCCTGTCCGTTCTGTGATGTTGAGAATTAAGTCAGTTAAACTGTAATGCCAAAAGTAGGGTCACACACCCTGCTACGGGCAAAGTGTACGTGGCCGTCGAGTGTATGTGAAACAGAGTAAAGTGTCTTACTTTTGCAGAGGTGTTAGTTTCTATCAAGTATCGGATGAGTCCCGGTTTGGTTTGTAGGAGTAGATGTTGGTCAGCGCTTCATCTCTGGCTCGCTGTGGGGAAACGTCAGCCTGCTGTTGCTAGGCATGCAAATGTCTCCGAGTGCCTAAACTATGAAACATGCATAAAAATGTAGGACACATCAGCAGCTGACAGCCAATTCCTGCAGCATGAAGATCACTCTCTGTCTATGTCGGTACTTAAATATTATTTTTCTTTTAAGTAATCTAACTTGCTGTCATCGTCGCTATTCAGGAGCTGGTTCTACCTTATTTTAAGAAATGAGGTTTGATAATGCATTAAATAAGGTGCAATTTTTTTCACTGCTTTTTCTTGAGTGCTTTCAGAGTGGACTCTAAGACTTAATTGGGTGATAAATGTCTAATCTGCGAGTGCTTTGAGACTATATATTTACCAGGTTGTGTTTTTTTTTTTTTTACTTTATTTTTTTTTTTTTTTTCCTGCCTCTGAACGTTTGCGCGTTGCCTGTGTCCGTACGCTTATAGGTTGTAGTGCTGAGAAAAGGAGAACACGGATTGAATTACATACACAGACATGCACCGAAGGCCAGCCAGTTAAAAGGATTGATAGCGGCAGAACCCATTAAGAGTAAAAGCAACTAGAAATGGAGAGAAATGAAAGTGGGAGGAGAGAGAATCGAGGAGGAGGAGGAGAGCAAACGGAGTGTACAGAGGCATTACATCATTCCTGACCTCATTAGGGCTTTTCTCTCTCCCACCACTCCATCCTCACTCTGCTACTCTCTCCAGGTCTCCTATATATCCACTCCGCTCGTCCTTTCTCAGTATTATCAGCATTGCGGGGCTAATCATTTTCTTCCCGTTTATATGAGGACCCTACCGGGTCTGCCTCTTGTCGCGTGAAAGCTGAGGACCTTGAGCTCTTCAGATAAATATTGTGTTAGACATTTTTTTTTTTTTTTTTTGGCTACCCTGTTATCATCCATAGCAGTTGCATGCCCGACAAATAAATGTCACTGTATGGAAAACCGAAGTGCAACACTAGACAATACTGTGGTGCTGTACTGCTGTACAGTATGTCACGATCTGTAAATATTAGCCCAGGCGCGATGCACTCTGCTGGACAGTTATGGCCACTGCAACTTATTTACTAAAACTCCCAGTGGCTGCCTTGAAATCATTACATTTAATTGATTATCTGCTATTTATTTATTTTTTTTTAATTGACTAAATTTTGCTTCATTTTATTTGGTGTTCTTATAATTGTTAGATGTACACTCCTGATCAAAGTCTTAGAGCTTAAAAACATGTCGCTGCGACTCGCGTTTTGTGCCACTGGACTAATACCAGGTTGAAAGTTAAATTTTTAAAAGATGAAATGGGAGTAAGACGCAAGCCAGAGTGGACTGTTTCTTGAACACCTTATTTAAATTTAAAACGGGTCGTTCACCGGCTGATTAAAAGTTTAAAGCTATTAGTTTAAAGAAGGAAGCAAAACCTGGAATGGCACATGCCTTCAGTTAAAGCTACAGCCCCATATAGGTAAGTTTTTAGGGTTTTCACACTTGTTCGACTGGGGACTGAAATTACATTTGTTACATTTTCACCTGGTGTGATTTGCTGTCACACTGCACTGTGTCAAATAAACCAAACACTTTGAAAAAAAAAAAAAACCTTGTTCACCTCCTCGCCTGTGGCGGCGCTGCACCAAGAACCACTGTAGGAAACAACAGGAAAACCTCTGAAGAAGGCGAAGCGCAACTTCCTCCTTCACAAAATGTAAACAAAAATGCATTGGCATCAGATTTTAACAGTAGTAGGATTTCTCTTCTGTTTCTGATTAAAAAACAAAAAACAAAAAAACACAAACCATTTCTCCCACTAGCGATAGATGTGGGCGTTTGTTTTTGTTGTAGTTACCCAGAATGCCCTGCGCTATAGAGCGCTTCCTGCTTTTGGGGAAGTCTCCAGTTCATTCGGCATTCACATGTGCATTTGAACCGCTCCAGATTTCACTTCAACCAAACTGATACCTGGGTTTTTTTTTTGTGTACCAGAGTTCAGTTGCCTTTTAACACCCTTTTGACTCAAATTCAGTTATCTGGGGTCAGCCTCCCATCCTTTGGACCAGAGAATAAACTTACGAATGAAATATTTCCCGTCTTTTAGCGTCTCGTGTGTGGCCCACCTAAGGAGCGAGTACGAAAGCAAGTTTGTGTTGTTGGAGGCCAAGATGTAGAGATGCAGAGACAGAAAGCCTTGTGCCATAATGATGCTGTACATGCTTGAACAGAAAATGACATGAAACCCAGATTCAGGCACAAATTTTAAGTTCTTAAGACTATTTCCTTAAACCTGTGATCAGTCGATGAACAGTCTGTTTGCTTCAATGTGGTTTCATTTTTTTTTTTTGTTCTCTTGTTCCCTTTTTTACAGCTCACCCTTCAACTTAACAGTTATTTATAGTTGAACAAGTGGTCATTTTAATGCTATTGGATTTTAAGATAATAATCTATGTCACTCGTTTTCCAGGTGGAAATATAATTGCTACATTATGTAATATGACGAAATAAACTACCCCTTTAAAATGAAAGTAGTTTGTATTAAACTGGAGCAAATGAAAGGTCATCATGAACGAGTTTTTCAGGAGGCCTGTAGTATGAAAACTGGGTAGATTGTGTTTCTGCAGCTCATATGACAGCATTAACAGTATCCATGTGACCTTGTTAGCACTCTAATCTTATCCAGGCTTGACAGTGATTTGATATATCTTATTGTTGGTAAATGAAGATAGTTTGCATCTTGCTTTTCTCCTCTGTCTTTCTCCTTTTACTTTACGTGAAACGTCTTTTACGTAAAGCAAACATCCTGTTGGCCTTTTTAATTTTACATGTCAGACGACTGAAAGTGCCAGAAGTATATGAAAATACAAAGAAAATCCTAGTCAGTTCTTTTTTTATCAGTGCCGTGGCTCCACGAGGCCGCCGCTATCTGGAAACGCTCGCCTCGTCTCGGAAAACCGAGTATCTGTTGGAGGCTGCTTCTATTTTCTAAAAATGGCAACTATTTCCCTGACCCTTAACTCCCATCACTGAGCAAGTAAAGCTCTCTCCTCACCTTGGCCTTGTCCTTGTTGAAGATAAAAGCATGTGGAAAGCTACAACAACTTGTCACGTCAGATGATATTCCTTTTGTATTTACATGTAGCCCTGAGTGGCGCTTGGCTCTTCGGTTGAACTTCTTTATTTTACGCCATTATCTAGTTGGAAAATTATACATTTCGGATTCTGAAACAGGAGAGTTTCAGGTTGTAAAAAGGTTTCCAACAAGTCCTTTTAATTTGATCCTCTCGGTTTTGGTTTCTAAAATGTCTTGAGTGTTTTTTTTTTCCCACACTGCATCTTAAATGTTTTGCATCCTCAATTTGTTCGCACATTCTTCAGCTTTTTTTTTTTCCAAGACATAGTCTCTCCTCTCCTACCAAGACTTGCTTTTGTTGTTTATTAAGGGAGTTAAAATGTTCTTGGTAGTAATCCTCTGCCAGATCATTCACTATAGGAATAAAAGTCTATTAACACAGTTTGGCTTGAAAACAGACATTTCAGCAATTGACTAACAGCTTCTTGGAATGAACGCTGTGTGTGGAGCTTTGTGTATATTACAAGGCCTTGAATTTAAGTAACGGTACAAAAGACGCAAAAAACAAACATAGTTGTACTTCAGTTGTTAAACAAGTTAAATATAAGTTATTGGGTAAGCAAGATAACTTGAGTTGTTTTAGCACAGCAGGTAGGCCTTAAATGTGCATTATAAAGTCTTATAAAGCCCTAAATCTGACTTTCAGGAAACAAAACTCAAAGTCTGGGGTCTTTGAAGATGAAACATTTTCTCTTGTGTCCAAAACTGCTTTTGCTAATTTGAACTTTAAAGCAGTGTGAATGTTTTCACGATGCTACAGCCACCATGCTAGCTAGAGCCAGATTCTTTGGTTTGAATCCTCCTTGGTTCTTTTGTCGTCTGAGCATCAGGTTGTCTCTACAGAAGGCGTTCCAGCAGACCTCTCCGGTCGAATCTCTCGTCAAACGTTCATTAGAACATTATGTATCGGTACTTCCATGTCTGGCTTTAATCAGTTTCTAATTGGAATCCCACGTGCCTCATCTGTTTGTGTTTTCATAGTCATCGGAGCTTGACGACATCCTGAACGACCTGCAGAGCGCTCAGCCGCAGCTCTTCTGCGAGCAGCGGCCGGTTTCGCTGCCCAGTCCCATGGACAAGCAGAACATCTTTAATGACATCCTGCAGATGTCGGAGAGCAACGCCGCCATGGCGACGCAGCAGCAACCCAGAGGCCTCGGACCCGGCATGGGTCAAACTAGTAAGTAGAGCTCTCAAACTCAAGGGGGAAAAAAAAGAAAAAAAAAAAAAAACAGGATTTCTTTTTTTTTAAAGTCTGTTTATTCTTACTTTTTAGATTTTGGCGCTGTCCGACCAGGGCAGCCGGGCAGGGCATTACCAGTGAGGAGTGTCTCTCTGGACATGAATGTCCCCTCACAGCAGCCATCATTGCAGTACCCCATACGGGCCAACAGCCCTTACCCTGTAATGCATCAGCAGCAAGGCATGTTGGGAGGTCATGGCATGATGCCCAACCAGCCTGGTATGGGCAATGCAGGTAAGTCTAACCAAGAGCTCTTCAAGTCAAATCAAATTATGTTGTGGTCCAATAAAAAAAAAAAACAAACAAAAATACAACTGTAGTCTTGAACTGTGACACTTGTGGCTGATTCCAAATTCCGATTAGACACTTTTCCTTCTGCCTCTGTGTCTCTCACCCGAACCCATCAACATCATGACACACTGACTCACTTCCTGTGACAGGAAATAGTCGCCCACACACCAGCGAAGTTTCTCTCACTGCGTCTCCCACATATCGATCCTCCCCGAGCAACTTCCAGCATTGCTCACAAAAGATTTCCCCTTTCACATCGATCCACAGACCACCGCCGCAATATGTGTGCAGAGAACGTTCTCCAAAATCTTTTCGGACCGTTTTCTCACCGCTTCTCGTCTCTGCGTCGTTGTCCTTCCTCCCGCTCCCGCAGGATTGATGACCCAAGGTGGTCCGCGGCCAGCCATGCAGCAGCAGCAGCAGCAGCCGGAGGGATGGACCGGTCCAGCTTCTGCGCCTCCTATTGGAGCTTCCGCTCCGGGACAACAAGGAGGCATGCAGGGTAGGATGGTGCCCGGCAATCCTCCGATGAGACCCAACAGCCAGCCAGCACCCCGGCCGATGCTGCAGTCTCCACTAATGGCCAACGGTGAGAGCCAACTTTAAAACGTCTTGGTATGAAGGCGCAGAAATAAAAAGCTGCATGACAAAGACTTTAAATCTGTAGTTCATGATATCGCCCATTTGAAGCTGCTAAAGTAGAGTGAGGAAGACCTCAGCTCACCCCCTCATAGCTTACTAGCTTCTCAGAGTTGTAAAGGATGCCATCTTGTGGTTGGTCGCGGTGTAGCAGGTGAATTATTTTAACACCCATCATTTTTACCTTTTTTGCTCTTGTGAAAGAGAAATTGTAAAAGTATTTAAAAAAAAAATCTCTGGGCATCTCTCTAATAATTCCATTAACCTGGATATTCTTCCTTTCTCTTTCAGCCCAACCTGATATGGACATTAATATGGTCGGCCACCATTTCTCCCAGCAGCAGGCTCCGCCCAATCAGACGGCCCCTTGGCCGGACAGCATGATGCCAATCGATCAGGCGCCTTTCGTAAACCAGAACAGGTACGTTTTTAACCCACAAATGATCGTTTTGTGTTCCCAAAAGGAGCCGGTGGCAATCTCCGCGTCTGGGGATTTTCTTAAATGTAGACACTGTTTCTCGCCCCCCCCAACCCCGAACCTTTCTGTAATACATTAGGCATTTTTGTTTATTTTTCTACAGACCTGCACAGCAAGATGATCTCCTCTGCAACCCGAGTCTCGATCAAGGCAGCGCAGTGGACGAGGGGGCCCTGATGTCCCAGCTGTACTCGGCACTAAAAGATTTTGACGGATTAGAAGAGATCGATCGAGCTCTCGGCATCCCCGCCCTGGTGGAACAGGTGAGCTTTTTCTAACACCGTTTCTCACAAGGGTGATGATGCGACTTGAATTGTCATAAATCTTATCGAATAAGTCTAAATATTTTTGCTGTGCATTTGTTATACTGCCTCTTTTTTTTTTTTTAAATCGGAATACCTCTAAATAAAATCTGATGCAACCAGCTACCTTCAAATGTCTCGTCATTAGTAAAAAAAAAAAAAGAGTCTACCCGCTTGCAGTTTAATCTGTGAAGGCCTCAGAAGTTTCATAGAGGACATTAGTGAGTAAAGAGCATCCCGTAGATTAAAGCACATAGCAGACAGGTCGGTGTTACGGTCGTAAATTCCTAATACAGTACACTACAATGACATTTACGGTTGTTGTGAGAAAATGCTTTAGAAAAAGTTTAAGGTGACTGAATCCTTTAGCAAGGTTCTGTAAGTTCTCTGTCATTTTTTGCACCAATTTCTTGCAGATGTTCCACTAATGTCGATTGTTTGCCGTTTCAGAGCCAGTCACTGGAACCAGAGCAGTTCCCCCCGGACCCAGCCATCATGTTGGACCAGAAGCCCCCAATGTACGCGCAGCAGTTCGGCCCGCCGCCCTCCCACATGGTGCCGAGGGGCTTTCCCGGCCCTCCCATGCAGGAGCCCGGCTTTCACCCGATGGCCGGCCAGATGGGGCCCCGGCCGACCTACCCCATGATGAGGATGCAGCGGCCCGGACTCAGGCCGGCTGGGGTCGCCCCGAACCAGCCCAACGCGCTGCGGCTGCAGCTCCAGCACCGGCTTCAGTCCCAACAGGTACGCTAGACCGACCCGACATGAGGCGACACGCAGCCCCGTCGATCGACTCTGAACTCACAGGTTTGAGTTACGTAATCGCTCTCGAGGCTGACGAATTCGAAGCCCCTGATTGCACACATTTAGACTTCCTAGTGGTCTTAATGTGTTTCATACTATTATTACCAATTTCTCGTAATTTGCAGTAAATTATGGCGTGTGTGTGTGTGTGTGTGTGTTGTTTATCGCCGTCAACCTGTCAGGGGACTAGAGATGAAAATGAACCCTTGTGGCTAAATCTGCCATATTTACATGTTGGTTTTGATGTACTGATGTTGATTACGGAGAGTAAAACTTAAAAATGAATTAAAGAGGTGCTGAAATAAATTTAAGTCTGTAACTCTTTTTATTTGTGCTTAAATGTGTTTTTGTGGGGGGGCGGGGTGTTTCCAGCAGAAAAGTCAGCCAATGATGACTCAGATGCCTGGCGTGTCAAATGTGAACCTACCTCTACGAGCCAGTGCTCCAAACCAGGTACAACCACAGTCATGTAATAACATTCCTGCACAAACATGTTCCATCTGCTAATTTATGATGATATATCCTGTTGCTTCACAATAAACGAAATACTTAAAGACGCCACAGTATATTCCAAAAGTATTCCATACGCCTTAAATTTTTTTTTTCACGCTTGGACACATTGCAACCACAGACACGCATTTGCAAAACGGGTTACATCTGACATCTCGTCTCGCCGTCGCTCTGGCGCTTCCTTTTCCTGCTGTTTCCAGGGAAACATCAACGCTCACATGTTGGCGCAGCGTCAGCGGGAGATGCTCAGCAACCACTTGAGGCAGCGACAGCAGCAGCAGCAGCAGCAGCAGCAGCAGCAACAGCAGCAGCAGCAGCAGCACGTTCAGCAGGCCCAGCAGGTCCAGCAGCAGCGCAGCATAGCCATGAGGGCCCAGGGCCTCAGCCTGCCTCCCAACATGGCCGGAGGCCTGAGCAACCCCAGGAACCCCCAGGCCGCCCCCCAGCAGTTCCCTTACCCGCCCAGCTACGGTACCAGTACAGGCCTGGCCTCGTCACCTCCCACCAGCCCCTTCTCCTCCCCTCTCTCCCCCAGCCTCCCCACTCTGCCCCCCAACCCTCAGCTCCACCTGCATGGCACCTCCTCTTCCTCCACCTCCTCCTCCTCACAGATGATGATGGGAAACACAAACATGATGGGCGGACAGTATGTGGGCGTACTCAGCCCTCAAATGCATCACAGTGCCTTTCAGTTTCCCAACTCAGGTACTGCTCCTCCCGCCAGCAAACAGCACACTTCACCCAAGAACGCTGTATATATATATATATATATATATATATATATATGTGTGTGTACGTGTGTGTGTGTGTTGATGTGAATCAATTGGAAAGCGTCACTTCCAATTGATGTTGAACGCCAGATTTATAATTTCATGCACTGATGATCACTATCATCATAAACCGATACAGATTAAGCTGCATATTTTACTCAGTAAACCTATAAATTATCTCCTAGTTATGCTTTTTTTACTCCACTAGATGGAGTCAGAGCTCAATAAATCGACCCACCCACCTCCGTTTGGCCATGAATTCTCTGAATAGTTTGTCGTACATTTACCTGATTTATCTAATGACATTTACCATATTTACGTCTTTTTGAGATTTCGCTTTTTTTTTGTTAAATAATCTCCTCCATCTTCTCTCTTCTTCTGTTAAAATGCATGTAGAAAATTCCACCTGCCTGAATGCCGACACTTTTTCACTTCAAAACACAGAGGCCTCTTGTATACCTCATCTGTTTTGTCACAGCACACTCTTCTTCTTGTTCTTCTTCTTCTTCTTGCATTTGTTCTAAATATGTTTAATGTACTTACTTTCTGTGGGACCGGTGTGGTTGACGTGTTTGAATTCGTCCTCTGCAGGTATGAGCCAACAGGCAGACGGGAGTTTTGCTGGGGCCAGCACGCCGCAGAGCCCGCTGCTTTCCCCGCGCATGGCGCACACACAGTCCCCCATGATGCAGCAGGGCCAGCAGAACGCCGCTTTCCAGGGTTCCCCTGACATGAACGGATGGCCACAGGGTAACATGGGAGGCAACAGGTGAGGACGACCAGCACATCCAGCGGAATGCGACTGTGAAAAAAACGTAAAGACTGAGTTCGTGTTTTTGGACCTGGGTGCTTTCAGATTTCAGTTTGTATTCAGAAAATATTGATCAGGGATGTTTGTGAGTTTTATGTTCTTCTGGGGAGTAAAAGCAGCTTAAATTAATGGTTTACTGGCTTAAGAAGGAGAAAGATTTGTATGTTTGTAAAAAAAAAAAAAAAAAAAAAAAAATCACCCCAAAAAAAAACCCAAAGAAAAAAAAAAAAAGGGTGTTTGTTTTT